CCCCCAAATATCCCACAGGGACCCCCTGAGACCCCCCGGGACCCCCTGAGACCCCCCAATATCCTACACAACACCCTGGGACCCCCCTGAGACCCCCAGTCTGTGCCCGACCCCGATGGGGCTGCACTGCTGTGCTGCACCTTCCAGCCCCTCAACAACAACCTCACCGTGATGAGAGACCCCCTGGGACCCCCTGAGACCCCTCGAGACCCCCCAAATATCCCACAGGAACCCCCCAGATATCTTACACACCACCCCGGGACCCCCAGAGCCCTCTGAGACCCCTCCCCAGGGTGCCCGACCCTGCCAGGGCCGTGCTGCACCTTCCAGCCCCTCAATAACAACCAGGGGTCTCAGGGGGGATTTGGGGGGTCTCAGGATGAGTTTGGGGGTCTCAGGATGGGTTTGGGGGTCTCAGGGGGGGATGTGGTGGCTCACGGTGCCCCCCCCTCTGCCCCCTCAGGTGGGCAGTGCCCGGCACATGGTCTGGATTGTGAACCCAGAGGGGGGTTGGGGGTCTCAGGGTGGGTTTGGGGGCTCAGGGGTCGCTCACGGTGCCCCCCCCGTGCCCCCCCAGGTGGGCAGTGCCCGGCACATGGTGCGGGTAGTGAACATCTCCACGGGGAAGGCGGCGCGGGGGGGCACCGGGCGCCTCCCCGGGAGGGTCCTGGCGCTCTGCTTCGACGCCCCCGGAAGGGTCCTGTGGGCGGGGGACGATCGGGGCTCCGTGTCCTCTTTCCTCTGCGACCCCGGAACAGGTACGGGACTGGGGGGCTCTGGGGGGGCGCTGGGAGGGACCGGGGGGGGGCGGGGGGGCGGCTGGGAGGGGGGGGGGGGGGCTGGGGGGGGGGCGGGGGGGCGATCGGGGCTCCGTGTCCTCCTTCCTCTGCACTGGTACGGCACTGGTACGGGGGTGGGGGGTGCTGGGAGGGACTGGAAACACTGGGACATGGTGGGGGGGTAGTAAAGGGGAACTGGGGGGGCTCTGGGAGGGGTTGGGGGTCACTGGGAGGGGTTGGGGGGCTCTGGAGGGCAGTTCAGAGAAACTGGGGGGCACTGAGAGGGGTTTGGGGGGGCTCTGGGAGGGGCCGGGGGGCGATCGGGGCTCCGTGTCCTCCTTCCTCTGCGACCCCGGTACGGGGGGGGGGGGGGGGG